CAGTTGAACCGAATAAGGCCCAACAGTATCGGTTAATGTCCAGTTGAACCGAATAAGGCTCAACAGTATCGGTTAATGTCCAGTTGAACCGAATAAGGTATATATATATATATATTTATAAATATAAAGAAATTTTAAAAAAAATGTTTTTTATATTTTTTTTCCTAACAATATATATTTATATATTTTTATAAAAATAAAGGTTTTTTTATAGTTTTTAACGTTTTCGACAGATTACTGACGGAATTTAGTTTTTTTTTAAATAAAAACTAAATTCCGTCGGAAATCCGTCGGAAACTTTAAAAATGTTTTTTTAATTTTTTTTCCTAACAATATATATTTATATATTTTTATTAAACATTTTTAAAGTTTCCGACGGATTTCCGACGGAATTTAGTTTTTTTTAAATAAAAATTAAATTTCGTCGGAAATCCGTCGAAAATTTAAGAAAATGTTTTTTAAATTTTTTCCTAACAAAGGTATATATATATATATATAAATATATATATATATATATATATTTATATATATATATATTTATAAATATAAATATATATATATATATATTTATATATATATATATATAGGGTTGGGTTCACGTGAGACCAGCCTGTTTTCGTGAGACCCGTGAGACCACATTTTTACACGTAAAATTTCCGACGAAAATTATTATTTTTAAATAAAAAGTAAATTCCGTCGGAAATCCGTAGGAAATTTTAAAAAATGTTTTTCAAACTTTTTCCTAACAAAGGTATATATATATTTAATTAGTGTTAATCTAAAACAATTTCCGACGGAATTTGATTTGTTGTTATTAAAAATTAAATTCCGTCGGAAATCCGTCGGAATTTTTTTTGGATTAACGCTAATTAATTTATTTAAATAAATTAGACAAATTTTGCGACGGATTTCCGACGGATTTGTGACGGATTCAAATAAATAAGAAATCCGTCACAAATCGGTTTTAACTAATTTTAAATTTTTTTTCCAAAAAATTCAGTGAGGGATTTGTGGGGGATTTGTGGCGGATATGGATAAACATTGACTTTGTTTGACTTTTTTGGGATCCGTCGGAAATCCGTCGGAAATCTGTCGGAAATATTTCCGACGGAATTTCCGCCAGAAAAATCCGTCGGTGATGCCCTTTTTTTTAGTAGTGAACTATGAAAAAACAATTATAGCTTTATTATTTTAAATATAGATATAAATTGTACCGTCTTATATGGTTGGTAATTTTTTCAAAATATGGGGATTTTGTTAGCCAATAACAAGAAAATCTATCACATTCTAATATAAAAATAGAATTCACACGAGAATGGAACAATCAAAAGAGTCGATGGGAGATAAACTATGGAGAATATATCAAAGTTTTCAAAGCAAGTAGTTTTACACGTCGGTTTTAGATGAAAAAAATTAGAAAAACATTAATAAATATTATATAATGAACGAAAGATTAACCTTTTTAGGTATTTTTTTTCTCCAATATATTTAATTCATACATGTTTGGGTCTTTAATAGTTAATGTAGTACTAAAAAAATTTCTTGTCATATTAGATACTAATTGTATTTACTAATTTTTTGGAACTACTATTATATATATTAAAAAAATTTGGGTCCCAAACTTTTATGAGCCCTGGGCGTACGCCCGACCCACCCTCCCCCAAGGACGGCCCTGAGTAAGATTATGGTTGAGTGTGTATATGAACTCTAATACATAATTATATATTTGGAAAATGTTTTTCATAACCATAACACCACCACTTTTTTCCTACCAATTCTCACACTCTATGTTAGATGGAACCGACTATGTTTTATTTTGCAAAAACATGTTTATACTTTACGTATTTGTTTATATTTATTTGAATCTTATATTCCGTCGTATTGTACGGGTATACAACTAGTATTTATAATCTATAACTCTAATAAAAAGAAATGATATATACATAAGCTGATATTGTAATATTTCAATATTATTTTAATTTTTTTTCTAAAAATAAAATTATCACAAAACTAGCAATTATGTATAAGAGAGAAGAGTTATATGACATTGAACTGATTGTAGGTTACCACTATGATCTGAACCAATAACGAAGACAGAGATCTCATTCTTTTTTGTCCTCATTTAATGTTACTAGAAGTGTATTTGCGCAATACAACGAGATACATCGTGATTTTAATATTTTATTTTATTATTTATCTCAGTCGATGTTATAATATGGCTTTATGTGATTTTGAGAAAGCGATTATGTTTTTATTTTTGAATAAAATATATGTTTGAAGATATCATAAAAATTTGACAAAAATATATC